ATATTTTATTAAAAATGAATGGAAAACAATTACAATACTACAATTTACCGTTGCCTGAATGCGATAGTAATGATAGTAATGTGAATATGGATAATCAATTTGAATATATGAGGGAAACACAATATGATAAATGTAGTTTGAGAACTGATATTTCCACTAACGAGCCAAGACTTACAAATGAACAGAGATGTGTATTTGATACTGTCTACAATTCAGTTCTTCGCCACGATGGTAAATTATTTTTCATCGATGCTCCTGGAGGAACTGGTAAGACATTTTTATTAAAGTTATTATTGTCGAAAATAAGACAAGAAGAAAAAATATCGTTGTGTGTCGCATCGTCAGGGATAGCTGCAACATTATTGCCTGGTGGACGAACTGCACATTCAATGTTTAAATTACCTCTCACTATAATAAACAACGATTTACCTGTATGCAATATAAAAAAAGGGTCAGAAATGGCCAAACTAATACAAGAATGTAAGTTGATTGTATGGGACGAGTGTACTATGGCTCATAAAAAAGCTATTGAAGCACTGAACCGTTCATTGATTGATCTGACTGGTAAAAATGATATCATGGGCCGGATAACAATTGTATTTTCAGGTAACTAATGCAATTATTTTTCAGTTCAATTTAATTTATTACCGTCATCAAACAACTTTGAACTGTAATTTAATTTTTTATGTAACATTTTAAATGTATTATTGTAGGAGATTTCCGTCAAATTTTACCTGTTGTGCCTCGGGGTACTAAAACTGATGAAATACGTGCATGTATTAAATCATCAATTTTATGGGAACATGTAATTAGATTGAAACTTACATCTAATATACGGGTACAATTGAGTAAAGAACAGGATTCAGGTAAGGTGTTTTAGCTAATTATAATGAAGGGACAATTTTTAATGTATTTATATAAATCAAGAGTAATAAAAAGTGTTATTATGATTTTAAAGTAAATATAATTAATTTTTAGTTAAAATTATAACTAATTTAATTAAAATTATACTTCAATAGTTATATTGTAATCATGAAATTCAAATGAATTTAATGGCAAAAAATTTTAATTTCAGATGAATTTAGTAAGTTTTTATTGGATATTGGAGAGGGGAAATTACCGATAGACGAAAATGAACAAATTTCATTGACCAATGACTTTGGAAAAATTATTTTTAATATCCCTGATTTAATAAGTAGTATTTATCCTGACTTAACCAATGTCACTTTATGTAATCATTCTTGGTGGTGTG